TGATATTTTTTATTTGTATATCTCAAAAAAGTATTGGCGACATCGTAAATTAAGAATTGAAGGCTGTAAAAATACAAAGATTATTTGGAATTTAAAACTTAGAATTTATTTCACATGTATGAAAAAATTACCTATACAAATACTTCATAAATCTAAATATTATCTTAAAAGTACACATAAATTATATTCGTAATTTTGCACATATTAAAATTACGCATACCGCATCGTCGCAAGCCACGGGTTTTGTGTCCATTCTGTTTCCACAAAATTTGGAAATAGAATGGACACAAAACCCGTGGCTTGCGACGATGCGCATACCGGTATTAAAATATTTGCAATGCTGTAAAAATGAACGTTTTTAAATCCTTTTTAAAAATTAACAGCATTTTTATATAACATTACAATGTTATACTCAAAGGCTAGAAGGTCATATCAAAAAAGGAAATGTGAAAAAAAAAAAATAATAAAAAAAAAATAAAAATAGCAATAGTACTACAAGTAGTCTAAACTATACTAAGCCCTGTATATTTACAATTTGATATGTTTCATTTGAAAGTAGAAAAACAATTGATCTTAATTCATTAATTTTCCGATATATCTATCTATCTATCTATCTATCTATCTATCTATCAATCTATCATTGAAATGTGACGTAAATATTGTTAGATTTAAAAAAAAAAAACCGGAAATATAGCATAACCAAGTGAATCAAATAAAAATTAAACTGAAACTGGTATGGGGAACCAGGTTTTGATTGAATTGCCGTCATATAAGTAATTGCTAGAGGTGTCCGTAAAAGACCACCAGCGGTCCGGAGAGATCCTGATGACCCCTTACCTTGACTTATTGCTGGTCTGGCGCGTGATTTTATCACATGTGGGATAAATAGAAATTTGGGATTTTGATTTAATGCAAGCATATTACCCTCCATTGTCCATCCAGGAATGTAAGATATGTACTGGGATTAATTCAAGAATTCTTGTGATAGAAACTTTGATTTTTAAATATTTGTTTTAAATGTGGCGAGTCGTTTTTTACAATTGAAATTGTCCTCTAATGCTGAAGGTGATTTACTGTCTTTTCTTTAAAAAAAAAAAATTCTTATTATAATATATTATACTGCCTTCTGAAATCACCATTTTGAGTAAATACATAAATTGTTAAACTACATGTAATTATAACCCAAGATTTATATTTATTTTGAAAACATGATCCCGAATCATTTAGTCTTTTTGAGAGAAAAAAAATCATTTTTTAAAAATTCATAATACATTATACTTGTAACCTTCGTAACTTTTCCAACTACATGTTACTTTATAATTACGTAACTTACATATTTAACAGTTATATTTATTTGACAGTCACAAATCCACGGTCATCCAAAATATCCCCCACACCGAGACCTTGAAATAATCTCTTCCTCCGAGGGACCACGTAAACACCCTCCTCAAGCGATGACCTTGGTCTGAGCAGAGTCCCCATAAAATGACCAGGCATTACCAGAACAAACCTGTTGCTTTGAAAAATATTTTCTAAATTAAACTTTTCGGTTCAAGATTAGGGCCAAGGTTTTACCCAGAGGAAACTGCTCTGTCAGCAAGTTGTAAAAATCTTTTTAACCTTATCATATTTAATCCAAAATTGACTGAAAAGTGTCTGAAGCACGTTGCGTAATGAGCAGACACTTAGTTGTCGGTGAATGATTGATGCTGGTTTTATTATTCAGTAAGATTTTTTTCTGGGGTTGAATATATATTGCTGTTGCAAAGTCAGTCTAAAGTGCACAATTAATTATTCTGATAATATATCACTTAATGTGAGACAATTTGATAACGTTAAGAAATGTTCATTTATTAACGATTTTAAGTAATTTTAAAATGTATAAAAACGAGATATGCAAATTGCATGGGATAACATTGATTTTCTGTGCTCATTTGATATCCAAGGACTCTATAATCAAGACCCCCACCCAACCCCAACTCATCGCTAGTTTTCTATTGATAATCTTTAGATGGATTGATTTTGAATGTGTAGAAGAACAATTTTCTTTAATGATAAAGCAAGATTTGCTGTTTGTTAAATAAAAAAAGGGGGCATCTTCTTTTGATTTGAACATATTTTATTGCAATAAATATATACAATGGGATTGGGCACAAGTTCTAAAAACTTAATTCGCCCTCTCCCTACATGTTATATCACAAAAAATTCAATCAGACGTGTCCAACAGCATGTACAAAGTAAATTAACTCACAACATAGAAACATATACTGCTAAATTATTATCTATACACATTTTTAGAAAAATCAATTAAATCTGCCTGAATGCTGAATATAAGATTGAACAATAGAGAAGAGATATTCATTTTCAGCAATACTGAGTGAGGTATCCCCCCAGAGTAAAGTATGAGTGTCAACAATATGAACTTTATTAAATCTCAAAAACTTATCGAAGAAATCTTTCCTGGCCTCAGTGTAATTAGGACATGAGAAAAAATAATGATGTGTGTCTTCTACCTTACCACAAGAGCATAATGGACTAGATATTATGTTACACCTATAAAGATCAATGTTTAGCACACAATTGTGTCGGAGTCTAGTGTGCAGTATATTGTAGCGTCTTTTTCCAAAACTGAAATAAGGCGGGGCTATTGTTATTTTTTGTGTGATTTTACTTTTAAAAGCAGATAAGGAGCTCGAGAGTCTGGTGTCTAGCGATAAAGAATTCCACTCGTTTACTACAGTTGGTACAAATGATGATTTGTATGTTTGCAGTCTACAGACGGGTATATTATAATTTTGAGAGTTTCTTGTTGTATACGCGGAAGCATTACATCGCATTTCAGGTATAATTTCACGTAGATAATCAGGAACTAAATTATTATGAATTTTATACATGGTATTCAATCTCTGAATCTTGCGTCTATCAATGAGCGGTTCCCAGCCTGTTTCAAAGTACAAAGAGTCTCTAGATGCAATTAAGGTCAAGCCAGTAACAATCCGCGCTGCGTGTAGTTGCAATTTCTCTAATTTTTCAGAGTCGATAGCTAGACAACCACCCCATACATCTGAAGCGTATTCGAGCTGAGGGCGGATAAATGAAGTATACATGAGTGAAAGAGTCTTTCGATTTATTTTAAATTTAAGTTTTTTTAATAGACCAATTTTTTTGTATGCATTAGACAGTAAGATTTCAATGTGAGTTGACCAACTTAAGTTATATGAAAAAGTTACCCCTAAATGTTTGTGAGTTTGAACATATTCTAATTGGCTATCTTGGAATAGGAGTTTGGGAGGTTCTATGTTTTTTCTTGTGCTAAAAAATACAACCTTAGTTTTGGATGGATTAAATTTTAGTAACCATTTGTTTGACCACTCTTCAAGAGATAAAAGATCATTATTCAGATTACTTTCTATAGATTTAACACATTTAGATGCGTACTGCAAACTGTTATCATCAGCGAATAATCTACAAAAGCTTGACATCTTGTCAGATACATCATTTACATAAATTAAAAATAATAATGGACCTAATACAGAGCCTTGTGGAACGCCGGCATATAAGGAAGCCGAAGGGGATACCAAATTTTTGTAAATAACTCTTTGTGTTCTATTTTCTAAATAACTTTTTAACCAAAAGTACATATTACTCTCTATGCCATACATGTTTAGCTTAAACAAGAGCCCTTTGTGCCAGACACGGTCAAAGGCCTTAGATAAGTCACAAAAAATCGTACAACTGGATTTACCATCATCAATATTTCTAACAATATTATCGTATGTTTCTAACAATTGATAAACCGTAGAATGACCAGGCAAGAAACCAGCCTGGTATTTGTAAAAAATATTATTACAATGAAAGTAGTTATACAAGTGTTTAAATACAATACGTTCCATGACTTTACCAACACAACTTAACAATGAAATAGGTCTATAGTTTGACAAAACAGCTGGATCGTCTTTTTTAAAGAGAGGAATAACATTAGCTAATTCTTTTGATTGGGCTGTTATTTAAATATGTATATTTTATATATATATTTAAATTATTAATGCCTTTTACCTGTTCAAGTAAATAATTAATAATATGCATTTTACTTTAATTCAATACAAATTACGTATCTTTAATAACGAATAATTGGTTTCACCCCATTCCGTTTCTCGATTAAAATGCATTAAAAAAAAAAGTATCCAACACATATCAAGCGCTCTAAACTAATTAAATTGAATCGTACATTATTAAGATATTCATACCAAAGAAATATGAATTCATAACGCGGGACTTTTATTTTTATATCAATTCAAGAATTTGTTCCTCGAAACTAGAGCTCTTATATTTTGATTCAATTTAAAACATAGCGAATATAAAAACCTGATAAAATGATGCCAATAATAAACTGATGACAATTGTACATTTATTTATAATCTACGAAATTTGAAAACATTATGAGAAACAAATTGAAAGAAAATGAATGGAATCTTTGTTGAATGAAATATTAAACAAAAAGTTAAAATAAACAGGAAATGCTGCAATAAATCTCAAATATACGATAAAGTTTGATTGCTTATAGCATCTGTAGAATGTTCAAACATTCTCAGAAGCCAGAAAACCCAGACACTTGTCAACACTTAGGTTCAATAAGGAACCCGACACAGGAAAGTAGCGCCCTGCCAATAGACACGCTTCTGTCTCTAAAACTACCAACTCTACTGAGGCGTTACTTTCACTCTTTTACGCCGATTCAAATGGAATTTTTTCTGCAGGGTGATGACAAATTCGTTTGATTTTCATCACGGCAGGCAATAAAAACCCGCAGGATGAAGTAACTAGAGAAGCCGTAAGGCTAAGTCAAATTTCTGACGTTTATGGTTCTAATCACAAAAAGAGGAGGGTTTGATGCAATCAACTTTCATTTGAAAAATTTATGTACAATATGTACACATTTATATAACACATTAGTGTTTACATTATATTGCTATCTCTTATAAAAACTGCGATCCAGTTCAGCAGGGTTCATATCACTGTATCCTATATAAGCCGTCTGCCCTGTGTTGGGGTTTCATTACTTTTTGATTTACACCGCTTGACGACAACCTTTAAAGACGATTTAACTTTTTAAAACCTATGTAAACTCATCAAATCTACATCAAGACTTTTAACCTTTGGGAAGAGAGAACTGTATTTTTGCCGTTTAATATTGGCTTCCGCATAAAATTCGCCGCAGATCGAGTGAAATAATTGGAATTAGTGCAAAGTGTCTTTATCTATCGATATCATTTAAAGAATCTTCCCCCAGTGTCCGTTATCAGAGGACAGATGATAACCCTGGTATGCCTGCCTCCCGCGGAGGTGTTTATACAGCCCCTTACAATTCGGATATAAACGTACCCCGCATGAGATGTTCGGACCAGAAGCTTCCAAGCCAGCAACCAGCAAACATATAGTGCAGTCCAAACACTTTTCTAAAAGGATTTTATTATTTGCCTTTAGCTTTTCAGCAATTATAAGGTTTGTTGATTTTTTTCTTATTTTTGAAATTAATTTCTTTCTATTCTATTCAATTGTTTTCTTTTATCAAAGATATTTAAATTCATTTTAAATCTTTGATCATCGAGTGAAAAAAATTAAACAAATGTTCAAAAAAGAGAATATTCCTCAAAGGAAGTGTTGATTTTTTTTACTTTTTTTTTTACTTTTTTTTTTTTTTTGCAAATAATATTATAAAGACGGTTTTGATTTTAACCGAATTTGATTAAATTTCTTGTAAATACATATTTAAATTAGAAAAATCTTATTACTGTTCATGATTGAATAATTTCGTCTTAAAGTAAAAATAACTTCTTGGAGTAAAGTAAGAGAGCATATCTCTCTGTTATAGAGTAACGTGACAGACAGATATCAAAAGGTTAAAATGTATTCAGTGTGGAAGAAAACAAAAGTTCCTGATAAGAAGGGAAGCAATTAAGTGTTTTGTTTTCGAAGACAGTCAAAGGGAAATGTAATTGAATATTAAGAGATCGGCGGCTTCCACACAAATTGTTGTATAGCAATGATCTAAGATACAATTTCAATGTAATGACCGGAACTAGTAAGCGCTTTCTCCTCCCTTAATTAACTTATAAATACTAGAAAATCGTGTGAAAATCGTCTCATACACTTAGTGTATAATTGCTCGTTCAGAGATGTAGGTAGGCAAATATTTGTGACATATCTGGCATGATGCTTAGACTCTCAATGAATTGGTGAATTACTACTGCTCATTTTTAGCCTATACACATTTTATGTGAATCATTTGAATAAAAATATAAAATACTTTTAATTCATTTACAGAATGTTGGAGTTTATCTACTTTTTCTGCCTGATTGGAGTGACAACAAAGATCTTTGCTTTACCAATATTGTCTACAGATCTTAGAGACAACAATTATTTTGGCGTACCAAGGGATGTTGAGGACGTGTCCGTTCCAGCACAATTTCTCGTTAATTATGAAAACTTGATGAACTCTGATGAGGATTTGAGTTACCCTGTCTTGCCATTACCCCAGAATCCACCAGAATGGCTGATGACACTGATTCATAGGATCATGGCCAAGTCGTCTGGTTTTTCCAACAGACAAAAGCGCGGGTATCCGGATTATTCGGATCCAGCCCTCCAAGCAATTTTACGCGCCTTTTACAATACATATGGCGGATATGGTGGCAGAATGGGTCTCCGATATGGACGCTCAGTTCGATCTGTACGAAACCGTATCCCTGTTCAACATAGAATTTTCCATAATTCGTTTTTGAAACGAATGAAAGCAGACTCCCATTCCAGAGGTCGTTTTCGAAGGTCATCGTACAGACAAGATGAACTACGAAGACTTATTAGAATGTTTTATTCAAGGGGAAAAAATGTCGGACGCTTAGGTATGAAATTTGGCTGAAAAGTGTGTTTTATACCTACACGGTATCCTATTGACCTCAAAGGCAGCAGACTATTGAATGTTATTCGTGTAAGATATGGACCAGTGAGGGCGCTTCACGATGTTTGCAATGCACTCTCTTAAACAATGAGTTGATGAATCTCTCTGTTATGTAAATAATGTACATAGTGTATTTATTTATACTGTTTGTAAATATTGTATATATTGTGCAAGATAAAAAAAAAACTCGATAAATCTTTGAAAAAAAAAATTAAAAGTTTAAAAGTATAATATTTTTTTGGGAGTCAATCATTAATATCGATGCGATTGTTTGTGTGATTGTTGCTCAGTTCTGTCTGAATCTCTCTTTTTAATGTAACCTTTCATTCATATTGCGTAGTTTGCTATTGCCAAAAATAATTTTAAGTGAAACGCACGATTTATTACTACAGAAATGTTTTAAAGTTCTGTTTCAAGTAGTTAATATTCATGATGAAATGCTTAAATTTGATAGCTTATTTTTAAAGAAACTATTTGAGCCCAAGTATAATCAACTATAAAATTCAAAATTCAAAATGACTTTCAGTTCAAAATTATATTCAGATTGAGGTGTTCCTCATGCAGCAACCTTTTAAAAGAATTATTCGCATGCAAATGATTTATGAAAAAAGAGGGCAATTTTATTCCAGAAGACCTAAATTGTATTTGCACGCTTCCCCCATTTTATTCAAATTAAAATCGAACGAAATGAACAGATCGTTAATGTATATAATTACAGACCGGTGATTGATGAGAAATATTGGATGTAACGACCAATACAAAAAAATTATTTACACAAGAAAACTTTCATGCAAGGAACAGCTTAAGGCAATGTTATTGGTTGCCTAATTGTTAATTTTAACCTGATGGCACGCATTTTGGTGATAAAATATCATTCAAAAAACATTAAAGTGCTGCCGATCTTTCACTCGCCATCCCTGATGTGTTCTTCTGTACTGAATTGAAATATTACCGTATAGCTACCAAAACGATCGTTTACACCGAAGCTTTTAAAGTGTTTCAGTTTTATGATGTCATTACAGAAATTAAGTGTATCATATTGAGCTCTTCTAGTTAAAGTAATGGGGAACTGCAATATATGCATTTTGTTTAACTTATACGTCTCGTAGTTTTACAATGATCATTTAATGGCAGTGGCTCTCTGAAAGAAACATACACAGAAAAGCAAAAAGAAAGAAAAAACTGTCTAAATACTGGTAAAAAGCTGGTAGTTGATAGTTCAGCAAAAATATATCTTAAAAATAAAAATTAAAGTTATATTTCGATGATAAAAATAGTAAGAATAAAGTGTATTTTTTCTTCTTCAGGAAAGTTATATTCAGAATTAAATTGATTTTGCGTATATTTCGATAGAAAAAGTACTTAGTTTACAGTGTATTTATTCTTCTTCGCAAAAGTTATGTTGATTCTGAAATTGTAAAATTACAAACCTCAGGCTTTAAGACCATAAAATGAGAACAGACTTAAGTCAAAATTTTGATTTTTTAATATCTTGAGTTTTGTTTAATGCATTTGCTTAAAAAATTGCAATTTTGCATAACATTTAAATTCAAACATATAATGAAAATTTTGTTTATCAAAATTATTTCAAAAGTTATATTGGTTTAAAATTTTGACTTAAGTCTGTTCTCAGTTTATGGTCTTGGAGCCAGATCTCCAAATAAAAGGCAAACTACACCAATTAAAATGCTGGTTGGCGACGTCGACCGCTTGAGCCGTGTAACCGAAATATTGCTTGAAAAATTGTCACCACACCCTTAAAGAATACATGTATGTGTACATTATTTAATATAATAAGGACAGATGATACAAGCTTTCTTCAAAAATCATGAAAATAACAACAAAAAGCCATCTTTTTTTGTAAAATGAATTAAGTTTAGCCATATATATTTTTTAATTTTTCATTTAAAGTTTCATAATTACCTGTATGTCCTATAAAGTGATGAAAAGTTGTATAGATTTAAATGTATAAGGGAGACAGCATAAATTTAATTGAATGGTGAACATCACAGAAAGTTGACATTTTTTAATATTTCAGAAGTTGATATTCGGATCATTTAAAGCCAAAATTAATCCAATAATATGTATTAATCCAGGCATCCATTTTTTTTTTTTAATTATCTGTGCTTATCATGGAATTAAATACAGGGTTCATGTAATGGAATAATAGTGGTTGCCCTGTAAAGTTTGAATTTAACAAGGTAGCAGTAAAACAAGATTTACAATATGACTGTCAATAGTTATTGTAAATATTCCCTGTAAATTCAAAATTTACAATTATATGATAGTCCAGCTAAATTCTCCTATTCGTGGAGATTGATTTATTTTTATTTCGAGTATGCCGATTTCTTCACGGCTACCACAAAAAGCTCTGGTGCATTCCTGTCTAAATAAACATGAAACTCCTTTGCAATGTACTCGGCAGTAGTGATGAATAATTTGTTCGCTTTTGCATGATGTAGAATCATCAATTGGAGTCTGTGAATATTCCACATGTTCCATTTTATCAGTGAATGTAATTATGAAATGTCTATTCTACCCTGTAAAACTACTTTCAATTAAAAATACACTTAAAGAAATGCTACACTTATTTATTTCTAAGGTTAGCATTAATTCGGCATCTTTGACATCCAGTTTAAATTCATCAGCAGTTCATTCAGTTTTCACGTTTCCTATTGTATGAGGATTAATAGAGGTGTGGACCACAAACCACTCGGTCATTTTCTCTTATTAAACTGAAGCTTTCCATGTTCCTGGGTGTCACAAATCTCAGCTAAAAATTGTATGCTTTATCTATCTCTGTATTTTTTTTAATAATCAAAAAATTGCTTTGCTGATGATCACTGTGAAGCATAAACTAAACATCTTTTTTTTTTTTTTTTTTTTTTTTTTTTTTTTTTTTTTAAAGTTTTTTGTTGAAGCTTAAAATGCGTAGAACAAGAAAATAAAAACAAAAACAAACGAGTCAAAGTATCACAGTACATACGTTATATTTTGTTATTAAATGAATCTTTAAAATAAAGACTATGAAACTGTATATGCTATTCAATGATCTTAGAAATCGAATACAATATTGATGTAGATATTTCAAAAATAAATAAATCAATAAATATGAAGGACAACGAATATATATATATATATATATATATATATATATATATATATATATATATATATATATATATATATATATATATATATATATATATACTTGCGCTTTTTACACAAACTATATCACCTTATTCTTTAGAAAGAAATATTTTTGGTGCAAAATTTTGCATTCAGTATATTAAAGAGGGTTGCTATAAGTTAAAAAAAAAAAAGATATTGCTATAAATTATCTTCATCCGTAATCGCACTGTGAAGAATGAAAATTCACGGATTTTTTTTTTAAACTATCAATTTGCACTTTTTTCAAAGAAATTGAACGATAGTATCTTCTACAACTGTTGTAATCTGGAGAAATTCAATTCATGTAAAAAAAAGTTCTGAAATACCCCAAAAAACTCTTTGTATGGTTAACATTTGTCAGCTATACACCAATAGAGCGTCAAACAATTGGATTATCAGCAGAGTTCGTGGTGCACTAAGACTTGGAGTTGAGAAATTTAACATATGACACTCGATACCGATTTCTTATGTCAATTTTATATCAGTAGAATCTTGTTTTAAAGCTTTTGCTGAAGTCTCGATGAATGTCAGTATTTTAAATCAAAAATTCTAATTCATTGTATTTCAAACAATTCAATCGCATTACGTTTCGGAGGTATGGCTACTGTACCTTTTCCCTTCAACTCAAGTTATACCTGTTTAAGTCGATTGATTGATTGATTGTATGTTTTTTTACGTCCCATTCGAGAATTTTTCCACTCATATAGAGACGACACCATATACCAGTGAAGGGTTTCAAATTTTGACCTTTACTCGGCACTCAGGGCCATTGAGCAGTGAGGGATCTTTATCGTGCCAACGCCTACCGTGACACGGGGCCGCAGTTTTTAAGGTCTCATCCGAAGGACCCGCAACTTTCACTTCAAAGAGTCGAGCGCATGGCGAAGGTACAGTAACGGTTGCTACCCATTTTTTATCGACTTAGGTCAGTCGCGGCCGAGATTCGAACGCACGACCTCCCGATCACGGAGCGAGCGCTCTACCGAGCTACCGTGAACGGTGTTTAAGTTGAAAATAGCCCAAACAATTGATATGCAAAAATGAATTTCTTTAATAAATTGTTCTCTAGTGTTAATCACACATTGCTGTGGATTTGAAAGGGATTCACTCATAAATTACTATAGATGTACGATAAATAAAGCTAAGAGTACTTGGCTGCTTTTTTCTGTAACATTTACTTGTGAATATCAAAGGTACCCCGGTACACTTTCTCATATATCTTATAGCACCTTGATGTTTGTTAAGTACATGTATGAAGTGTTGTAACCGTAGTTCTCGGTCATTATTTGATGTGGTATGGGGGAAATTATGATACTACTGATTCACAGTAGGGCCATCACAGGGCAGCCTTGTTGTAGATAATGGGGATAAACCGATAATCCCTGTAATGTCTGCAAATCTAGACATTCAAAGAGAAAAAAAAACTGCTGCGTTTTACGTTTCTCATAATATTAAACTCCATAATCTTTAGAAGATAATTGGTAAATTGAAAAACCATCACACTCCACGTAATTCTTTTATCTTCGAAATAAAATGAACGCAACTTTGCTGTGATATCATTGTTGATCAAGTAAATAAAATCTCCATCTGCACATCGTAATGTTCCACGCCCTAAATCAAACGAAGGTATACTCTTTGTTCAACAGATAAATTGCAAATAATAAAAAAGGAGAGAAAAATGCATGTTCCAAGACAAAGAACCGAATTTTAACGACTTTCTTTATAATGACCTTGACACTTTATCAAAACATCAAGAGGTTAACAATCTTCAGTGCAGCTAACCTATATTTCCCAATAATTGGTAAGAGAACAAAAAATTAATAGATGTTTATCGAATTTACGTAAAACACATTGGATTACCATGCATCCTCCTTATAACAACCCCCTCTCATCTTTTAATTGCGAGCAGATCGCATGCGCCTAAGAAACTGATCACTTTTTATTGTGGAGGTGTAACCGAGCAATTACAAATTGATCCATCAAAGAAGAAATTGCAGATTACTAGCCGAACACGCACAGCAGTAGGGCACGTGACGTCATTTTTGGACAGACACAAAAGGCGCTTTTATGTTTGTGTAGATTTGAGAAAGGTTTAAATGCTTTGAGCAAAAACTGGAAGGAAAAAGAATCAATAAGTAATAAACTGAAAGATGAAAAATTAAACCACATCGATCCAGCTGTACTCTATCACAGTAAAGTAAAATAAAATGGTAAACAAATGAGTGCCTTTTGGCGACATTCATCATATAATACAATTTTCTGTTTCCCTCTTTAATTTGAAAGAACATTTGTCCCTAAGTTTATTTAAGTGCCAGGACCTCCAAACGCAGAAGGAAATGTACAGCATAAATAAAATGAATTACTTTATTGCCTGGTATTTTCCTTTATGCTCAAGTTATGGAAATCGATATCAAAAGCTCAGTGAATGACATATATCAGGAAGTGCATTGCAAATATCGAAGAAAAAATACCAAATCTGCCATATTTTATTGAAAAAATTGTATATAAAAAAAAGTTATGGTCAATTAAAGAACACACAATTGAATAACCCTAACGTGAAGATGAATGCTTTCTATGAAAATTCAAGTCTTCTAAATCAGTAGTATTAAGACTTCTTGATTATTAGTAAATACATGTAATAAATTTAAATTAGATTTTCAAGGATTGTAACAAAGAACTCAGGAGTATCCATCATCTTCCTGCAACTTTAAAATGAAATATTGTTCATATTTAATTAACCCAACTTATACACTTTCAGGCTGCATGTAATCCAAAATCACATTTAAAATTTCCAAAACATTTAGATCTGAAAAGAAATACCAACATTTTCTTTAGTTGAATGGACTCTGTACTTTACAACTGATAGTCATCTTCCACATCGCTGTAGAAGACTGACGCTAATTAAGGTTATGTTATATATGTCTACCTGATCAATACATAGGGTTCACGGCGGGTGTGAAGGGGATGCTTACTCCTCCTAGGCACCTGATCCCACCTCTTGAATTTCCGGAGGTCCGTGTGTTACTTCATACTCACAGATTTGTATTGTTTGTAGATTCTTTTTTAAATCGTTATCTTCACCTTTTTCATGTATGTATATCAATTCGACTCTTTCACAGAAAGTAAAGACGGGACATATACATGCATATATTTTTGTCATTCCGTAAGGTATGGGACCAAGACTTTTTTAATTAATTATTTTTTTTGCACCTGTCCCACCCTGGTAGTAAATTTTGTCTGGTTTCTAAAGCACAACTAATCAGGTCAGCTTTACAAATGGTTGCGTCTTCTGACGATTAGTAGTGCCAACGACAGTGTGAGCAATCTCATTTTGCTCCCATTGGTTCGTGACTGTAACTTTAGAGGGTACCACTGGTCTTCAGTTTCCTGGAAAGAGTTTCCTCATATTTTATCGGGCATAAAAAACCCAATAAAACTGAGACATAGGAATATTCCACAAAAACAAGAAGATCAAGACATTTCGTTCGTGCGATGGAACAGACATAACATCATGCAATAACTTATCTGCAAGTTGATCATTTTAATTACCTATTTATTTACAAGTAAACAATAATGCGTGGATATGTTTCCTTTTTACTGTATACTTTCTGATCTAAATGAAATGCTTGTTGATAAAAATGTTTGTTATCATGCTGTCAAAATAATGTAAAATGTATGTAAGCATACTGTCCAAACAATTATTCTGAATGTTGAATTCTACACTGAGAAATATGATAACAAGAGTTCTATTATTGGTTCTATTTCATCCGACTTAACATATAAACATGAAGCACATATATGTGTACAAAGATAATACTGATAAAGGTAAATGAGGTATCCTATGGTAAACTGACAAGTTGATGATCACGCATACCATGTTTAGTGGTTGATTATTTGTTGCTCTTCTTTATGTATAGAGATATGCTTTACGTTGAAATGGAATAATCTGATGATAGAAACGCCTACGACAGACCAAACTGAATGTTAATACTTATGACACACCACTCAGGACTATAACATACATATCAGTGATAAGCAGTCAGTCATTGACCTAGAATAATAGTCCACACAGATCCCCCAGGACCACTACTAATGGCGCCACTAATTGTCTGGTTTAGTGTCCTAGGCGCAGTCACAGCCCAGTCTTGCCAAGTCCATTCTGATAGTAAGTAGACAACCCTCTATCTGGTGCCGTCTGATATACTTCAAAATAACCAATGACATGATAAAAATGTATCTAAAAAAATAAACAATACAGACAACGTAAATAATCTGGAAAAAACCCCTTCTGAGTTAAGCAAAATAGTACGGTACTTTTTTTGTGGGGTTTCAATGTCTTAAAAAAGACAAAGTTTGATCAATTAAAAAGTGAAGATAAGGAGTAGTGATATCTACGAACAATACAAATCTGTAAACTGGGCATAAGAAAGGACTGCCGGAAATTCCAAAGGTAGGATCAGGTACCGAGGAGGAGTAAGCATCCCCTGTCGACCGGTGACACCCGCCGTGAGCCATATGTATGGATCACGTAGACGGAATATTCGATAGTCAAATTTAGTATAAAAACAAAGGTATAAGAATTGGTACGATATATGTCAGTCAAATTCCGTTACTTTCTATATGGAAATTTCTTGCAAGTATTAAATAGTTGTATTGTAAAAGTATTTACGTATTAAATCAAACCTCCAGTCTCGAGCAAACTTTATTGTAATTTGAAGAAAATTGGTTACAAATAAATTATCCGTGAAATTATTTCAAACAAAGGAGCAGAAATCGGTTAAATAATCTGCTTACCTTAAAGTACAAAATGTAAAAAACAAAACATGCTTTCCAAAAGTTTTTTCGTTTGCAAACTTAATCTGATCGTCCTTTCAGTTAAATAGCTAATTTTTCAGATTTAGTGACTTTTGAATTAATTTTTATGCACTCTTATATGACTTCAAATTTTTAAAACAAATTATTGGTTCTTTGACAATTTACCTTAAAATAGGGTATAATAAATCTGCTCTTGGGCTTTCAAAAACTAAAATGATATTTAAGTTCTTTTAAATAAGCAACAAACTATTACTATAATTCTATTTTTAATTCTTGTAAAAAGCAACAAACAAATACCAAGTTTTGCAAAGTAATTCAAACTTTTATTTTGTTAGATTACACACTGACATATTTATAATCAAAGAGACAAATTAAATATAAAATGTACCAGCAATAAACCATGTCATCTCATTACAAAGGATAATAAATTTATATCCTTTGGGGTATAAAATATCACCCTATAAAATATAACTATAAAAATATCAACCTGTAAAATATATCTGTAAAATATTCACCTATAAAATCCAACTTTGAAATATCACCCTAAAAAGAACGCTTTCATGAGATACTTGACCTGCCATTTTCTGCATGTGGTGCTTGAATTTTTTAAAGTTAGGTCAAAGTTTATGTACGATTTCACAAAGTACATGTATGTTAGGTTTTGTACATAAGATAGAAGCTAAATATAGAAGCGATTTTTTTTTTGTATCTGACAAAATGTGAAACGAAAATTAAATCAGAGGTCAAATTCAAGGTCAAAAGCTAACAAAAATCTGATTAAAGAAAACGTGTGAAAATCAGTGCATATGCTTTAGGTCTATATGCCCACCACTCACAATTTAGATGATAAACAATAATCGACATTATGAATTTTTAAAAGTAGGTCAAAGTTCAGGACCAAGACCTAATTACCTTCGTTTTTTATACATTCGATACATCCGCCGAGATTTACTGTTAGGTAGAGCAGACTCCAGGTAAGATGAACCATGAATATCGCTCTGTTTTTCAGACTATAAAACTATTTTTAAATAACAATTTAAAAGACTGGTGTTTATCACTTTCTACTAATTAAAAACAACACGTAGTTCTTAAAAAGGTCTTGCTTGTATTCTCTAAATGTATTAGTTTTGCTCAGTTGCTTTTATCTTTAACAGCTTTTGAGACAGACTTTTGTCAGATGAAGGCTGCTGTGGACGTCCTTAAAGGTGACACACAGCGGATCTCTAATAATGAAGTGGAACTCTCCAAACTATGGCACACCATTCGTGCAGAAACAAAGAGTATTTACGACAACCGTAAAATGATTGATGTCATAAAGAGAAATCTGACTGATTTGGTAAGTAACTTACTAGAAAACAATCGCCTTCTCAGTTAGAATTTTAAAAAAGTTGTAGAGAAAGCTTGTTTAAGTTAATTAATTTGCTTGTCAATATACATAGGATATTGATTATGTTTGATATTCAATTTCACTAAAACGTGTTTCCATAAAAAAAAAGCAAGGATGTGGAAACAAGCTTGTGGCCTGCGTAATGGCATAGAATGTACAGAACAGGCAATCAGATAATAAACTAATAAAATAACGTACGAGTTAGAGGGAAAGGGTGTACTTCCGTTTCAGAAATGAATGAAATTCTTGTGAACATAGAGAAAATGTAAATTTATTCACTGTATAACTTTATAAATAAATAAATAGTAAATGCATTAAAAAGTTCCATAAAAGTTTAATTAGTACTCAGCATGTTATGATTAATACACGTATACAAGTACATGAAGCTGTTAGCGCAAAGTAAACAAAGTAGTCCGTCGCGTTATTTGTGCGCAAATGGTTACATTTATCGGATGCCTCACATGAGATCAACCTGTGACCTGCCGAAGCCGATCACAAAAGTATGCAAGACACCTACTGATAAGTCCTCTATCCGCGTACATATTTCTATCAAGCAAAATACAATGTATTTGACAAAGTATTGTTGCTCCCTTGCAAAGTTTAAGTAATTCTCATAATTACAAATATTAAAATCTTACTAGATTGATTGATTGTTTAACGCCGAGTCGGCAGTACTTCAGGCCTTTTCGGCGGTCTAATTGAGTAAAACACCGTTTACAGAAATCAGTCTGTGATAAATATAATTTATAATGAAATATATGGAGATAACGAACAGTATTCAAGCTCAAAAGTCCATTAATCAATACAAAATAGGAGCAGAGCAAACACGGACCTCCAAACAGCAGAGGTGGGATCAGGTGCCATGGAGGAGTGAGCATCCCCTGCCGACCGGTCACACCCGCCGTGTGCTCCTTGTCATGATCGGGAAATAACGGAAAAATCCGTCGACAATTCAGTGTGTAAATAATGGCCTAACAATTAGTGTGAAAAACGTCAGTCAGCATTTGGCTCAATGATAAATTGTATTTGCTGACAAGGTCATTGTATCGACCATAGAACTTACGAATGATGACTTTAAACGACAAAAAATTTCAAATTTCATCAAATCGCCGTGTCATATGTGGACATTGGAGGTCTTTCAACCATAAATTTGTTTACCAACATGCTTTCGTAATGAAATAAAAATCAATGAAAGTGTCGAAATACATGAATTTTGAATACCATTGCTTATATTATATCACATTTTTTTAATCACGTAGTGAGAGTAATGCAAATTTCCAGGGACAAGGGAGGAACATTCTAAACTTTGATAACTTTTCATTTTTATAAAAAATTCTTTTCTCTATTACACGAATAAGTGATAGTCTTGAACATTATTAAGTAATAACAGCCAATATTAATAAATGTATGAAAAGCAATCATATAAATTACAGTTTAGGTAGCCATAAGTATCTGTTAAAGATGGCCATTTTTGTAAGACTATTGTACATTATTTGCAGATTTGGTACAATGTACTATAAACCAACTATTATTCGCGTCATCTTATATTCGCGATTCACCAGTTTGAAATTGATCTGCGACGAATAATTTTCGCGACTGAAAAACATCCTCCATAAATACAAAGCAAAATAAGTTGCTCGCGGCAAAATATTCGCGAGTTAAAGTAGGTCGCGAAACTCGCGAGTATTTCTCGCGTGCAAATAAAAGTTGGTAATTTACAGTATCAGTTATTTTAATGAGCCGACATCTTACCTCTTTCTATACACAATGAAGTTAATGTTGCATGATGTAAGTTTTTATTGCAGCCCCGTAGTACACGGGTTTAGGGTAGGGTTTCTGCACCCCTTTTCTGAGAATAGTTTTTTGATGTAGCTTTACTATGTAAATTTTCATTTAGCAGCTGCTTGCCCCCCTAACATACCCCCATTTGTGTTGCTGTACGGTCGAACACTGGCAAATTCCAGCATTTGGAAAAAATGAATCAAAAAGTTAGAGAAAGGCCCAACTCTCTCTGCCCCATAAGAAATAGAATTTTCGAGTTTGGGGTGTTTACGTTTATTTATTTATATTCATTTTGCTTGTTAATTTTTTTTGGAGGTTGCCCCACCCCACCCCACTTTCAAAAGACTGTATTGTATAATATAAGTGTCATAAGATGAAGTAAGTTGATAAAAAATGTGTTCCTTTTATAAATAGAATAACAAAATCAACATAATACAGATGTTTGTGAGATGTTTTAAAATGGAAAACTTGATACCACTAGCCAAGACCAGTTTGCTGAAACAATTTATGACTACCGACTGCACTTAGAATATAGTGAAGCAATTTGAGGGTTTTGATTTTTCTGTTTTGAATTTTTAAAAAAAATTATTATCTTGATGAGAATTTTATAGAGAAAAAGATCCCAATTATAATGAACTCAGTGTTCCTTGCTTTTAGCTTAATAAGCAACAACATTATGTTCTAAACACTTAGTTCTTAACCAATCTCGCAGATGATTGAAGATTAAAATCTAGGTTTTAAGTAATTTTTGTCGGATTATATGCCAAGGTAGTTTCTTTTGCTTTGTTGGCCTGCCGTTTTGTATATGGGGTAAGCCTTTATTTCGTTTAATCAGCATTATCTAATTATCACAGAGGTTTTGTTGATCATTTAGCAGCAAGAAGTCCATCCAAACAAGTGAAATAATTGTCTGCTTCTAAAGTGTAACTTAATGAATTGATTAAACGAAATCTGGAGAGAGAGAGAGAGAGAGAGAGAGAGAGAGATGCAAAAACGTGATCATTTTTAAATGAATAAGTATGATTTTATATATTGGTTTCTCTAAACAACTTGATTTGGGTGGATATCAGATCTAACTAATTTCGATTGATAAATTCACTGAATTTTTAACACTTTTCGATGTTCTTAGCTGTATATCTTCAAATTTGCGCATTTATTTAGCGGCGTGGAATTTTCTTACTTGGATTAAAAAAAGAAACAAGAACAATTCTTGCTTTCAAATTCTTTCTAATTCTATGTCTAGGATGACATAATTCAAAATAATGGTCTGAATGCCTTATTATTGATTACTGTATGATAATTCTGTTTTCATTGTCTGAAATGCACATAACAATATATACCGGGTAATTACAGTACTTACATACTAGTAGTGTAGCACATTAAACGTTTAAATATGTTTTTAATGTATTATACAGATTGGTTATTTTGCTGTAGGTGTAAATTCATGTACATGTATTTTAAAAAAGTATTTGGTAGAGCATTCTTCTTTATATTTTTCAGAATCTCAATGAGTTTGATAATTTTTATCCACTATACTTTAAGCCTCACATCTAAGAAAAAAAGGGGGCACCTACAATAAAACATATCCCATATCAAATTAAAAACGAAATAATTATTCGATTATTTCTGAATATTGCAATGAATTTCAGATATAATGTAAAAATTTCATACAAATAATTGATATAATTTTATCTTTTACTAGTATCAATCAGTTACGTTAATTTTGCCGATATTTAATGTAATACATTGTTAATAAAATACTCAAAAATATATAATTTGATATCCTATTGCTCAATATAAACAGCGCAAGGAGGGGCAGATCGCCAGATAACTGTTAGTAGATCATTATTAGGAAAAGGAAACCGACAGTGATGAAAGTACACTTTAATCTAAGCAGTGTCACACCTTTACATCAAAGTCGGGCATCCTGTAGGAAACAGGATTCAGATTTTGATCAGCGAAAATTATATTAAAAATGCGATAAAAATCTCGCACGACGCTAAATCTCGTACATCTTGAGACTTTGATGTGGACATTTTAATGTCCCTGCTTTATAAGTCTGGGTCACTTAAAAATCTAAATTATATTATTCGCTTTTGAATTAGTGATGCTGCATTACTTATGTTCATTTGATAAAATTTAATGTCATTTAATAATCATTTATAAACAAATGAAGAGCTTCATCAGATCACATGCATGCTAGACATATAGCATAACTTATACGACAATCTTCTACAATATTTATCAAAAACAGGCTCTAATTCTGGACATCGTAGAAAGAATGACATATTTTCCAATTGCAGCATATTGTTTCAAAATAAAATCTATGATAATATGTATAGACTACATGTACATATTTACGAAAAAAACATTTTTGCAATTGATATTAGTAATTTAAATTTGTCAAAAAATATAATCTCCTTAAACCGTCACGTAATTGAAGAATTAAAATTTGTCTACAAAATATATAGTTATATAGGTTAAATACTAATGTCAAGCAAGAGCGTCATCATTCTTCAAATATTTACAGATAAAATTATATTTATTATTATTTACAAAAAATACATCCTTTTGATTAAGATTGAGACTTTCAGAGTAAAGTATATATAACACATAGTTAATATATAGGTCAATCATTTGGTTAGATGTGACCATTGATAAATTATAAATAAAGCACTTGAAATCTAAATATAGCTTACTCTTTCTCATGTTTCACGTTGTACTGTCGTCCTATGTCTTAATATTTATACAAATAACATAAGAACAATCCAGGATTATAGATGTAAATCTCTACAGCTAACTCCCAAAATTTACAAGATTTTCATTCACAAATACCGTAAGCACAATGTAAGCCAATATATGTTTTCGGCGAGTTAAATTTAAAAAAAAGTTGATTCAAACTGTTTCTCTTTAAAAAATATTCGTAATCGTGAATGATTTAGTGCCACTTAAAGTCTAACTTAAATTTCTTAGAGAAATTAAATTTGAACACAGACTGGGTGTACTTCCACACGTTTTAATAAAACCCTAAATAGGTTTTCCTTTAGAGTCTCGAGACTCAGTTTTTTTCTCATATGATATGTGAGGTACCTGTGCAATAATTTAGTAAGGAGAATCTTAATTTAATAAAAAAAAAGTTTTATTTAAGTGGCCTGTAGCTTGGTCATTGCTTCGACATACATATACATGTGAATTTGTAAAACATATATATATATATATATATATATATATATATATATATATATATATATATATATATATATATATATATATATATATATATATATATACAGTGTATGAATGTTAGGGCACCTCTTGTCTGTGTCATTAAAGTATTGCAAAAACAATATTTGCCTCTTTTCGTATACAGGTAATTAAAAAACAAACAAGAACAAAACAAAACGAACAAAACATTGCATGTATAATATAATTTGATTCATCCATTTGGATGTGAAAAACGAGAACAAAGGGTCCTCTGCGAGCCCCAAAAAATTGTTAAATGAGCAAAATATGAAATTTGTAGTGCATGCCAGAAATATATATACACTTTGAAGTTAAAAATTTGGAAAATCAAACAGAATAATCTACAGGAATAATGTATTACAAAGATATTCTCTTTTTTTAATTTAAATTTTTGTATTAGAAATTTCTTTTTCTGTAAAAAGGAATAATACACTTCCAAAAAATGTTTACTTATTAGTTCCTACTTTTTTTTTTTAACGATTTGCATACATCATTCAACTTCAGAATAACGTGTGGAATAAAACTTAACCAATTTGTCGCCACCTATTTTTATGGTTCCATATCATTAGTGCATTAGGGAAGATCAAGCCAAACCAAGTATCAATTTTCTCAGAATCTAATTTCATGAAAATGAAAAGCTACCATTTATTTGGTACAGCTGTAGGTGTTTATCTTTATATACGTCTTCAGTGTCTTTGAAGGTTTTTTATTTATTAAAAGTTTTCTCTGAAAAATCATTTCATAGAGCATCGCACCGAATACCAACCCAGATGTAATGGAAAAATTACATAACATTACATCGACTGTGGACGATAAAATGAAAAACCTCACCGACACTGTGACAGCTCTCGAATCCCGGATGAGGCAATTAGAAAGTACTTACTGAAACTAATTACAGTAACAAGAGTCTATTAATTTCATAGCAGTAATTAATTTATAATCAATAGTTCAAGAATTATTATATTTTTTATTATTCACATGCCTTTTTGTAAGACTATAGGCACCACTGCAAGTGGTTTTAGTTATTATTTTGTTTATCTTAATTTTACAAACAGTAAAGTGCAGCAGCTGTGGCACGAGAGGTCATCCGTGTGATTTACACCCTTGTGAGAATGGAGGTAAATATTAAAAAAGTAGATTAAGTGGACATAAAAAATGTTGACATGATTTCTGTAAGAATCAAGAAAGATATTTGTTTTCTCGAGTTACACGTTTTCCGTAAATCAAATTAAAATTGAAAAGAAATTATCACTTAGCTCTGCAGTATTGTGCGACATGTTTAAAATCCTGTAGATTCCTTAATTTTCGTGAGTACTTATTATCGCGAAATCACTCTTTAACGTCAAATATAATAATTATTCGCGAATGGACGGTTGATCAAGAGAATTTACGTGGATTTCAGCACCATAAAAATAAAAGGGAGTAATTTTATTTTGCGAGTGGAGCTATTGGCGAAATTTCGTGATAATTATTTTCCTCGCGTATAATTAGGAATCTTCATTATTATTTCTAATATGCATTTTATTTTTGCTAGTTTATCTTGTACAAAAAAAGCTATAAACTTGATCGAGGTACATCATAAAATTCGCCTTCTTTCAATTTTTTTTAATTTAAGGAAAGTGCGTGGAGTTGGGGAAAGACTTTTACTGCGCATGTCCGTTAGGATTCGCGGGAAAACTGTGTGACGTTACCGATCATTGCATCCCATCGCCCTGTTTGAACAATGGGACGTGCGTGAATAATGTTGTGTCCCATACATGTCTGTGTTCTCTTCCTTATACCGGTCCAAACTGTACAATCGAACTGACCGTCTGCGACACCAACCCATGTGCAAGGGGCATGTGTGTACCTGATGGAAAGAACTTCAAGTGTCTGTGTGACCCAGGTTTCTACGGCGATCTCTGCAACAGCGTAGTCGACTTAAGTCTTATCACCACAGCATCTTCAACATTACCACCAAAAAGTACACCTTCAACATTACCATCAAAAAGCACAACTTCAACATTACCACCAAAAAGTACACCTTCAACATTACCAACAAAAAGTACAAATTCAACATTACCATCAAAAAGTACAATTTCAAAATTAACACCCAAGACAACACTTTCAACATTACCACAAAAAGGTACACCAAAGTCAACAATCAATCCAACAAACAGCACAGTACAAAATTCTACAAAACCATCATCACAGGCAACAAAGTCCTCTCTACCACCAGGAACAAATATAACCACTGCAGCCGACCCCTGTGTTACACCGTCTATTTGTAACGAACCCTCTGTTTGCGTTGCGCGAGGAGTTAATTATGAGTGTGTATGCCCCCAAACAAATAAAACTATCAATGACGCTTGTCTTGAACCAATACTCGTTAAACCTTTTGACATTTGCTGCATTCAAGACATATGTCAACCAATATCACAACCAATTTGTTGAAAGAGTCCATTTGTGACTCTCATTGCACTCAGGGAATGGGCAAATAAACAGAATTCTTGAAGATGTAACATATTTGATTTTCATGGAATCACGTTTCCATTTATGATTTCTGTTGATAATCGATTGATATTTAATCAGTATAAACCCATGACATTGAAATACTACTAAAAAGAAAAGTAATCACTGCTAGACTGTGTTCTTGTATAATTATAAACATTGGTTTATTGCAATTCTGATAGTCGCTACACAAAGTTTATGTAGCGACCACAGTGTATCACAATTTCAGAGCGATTCAAACATCTGATTTTAATCAGATTGATATGCTTCTTCGATCATTACTCCTAACTATTTTAAAAGCAATTATACTTATTAACTCGAGTGCTTGTTTCTCAACGTTCAAGTACCATGATCCCTCAATATAATGTAATCATTACAATCTGTCACTGTGGCTCAGCTCCCGCTCCCTGGCCTCCCCTGACATAAGTGTTCCTTAGCCAATCGCTCGGTACTTTGAAGTGAAAGTCACGGGTCTTTCGGATGAGACCGAGGCCCCGTGTTATGGCAGGCATTGGCACAAATAAAGATCCCTCACTGCTCAATGCGGCCCTGAGTGCCGAGTAATAAAGGTCTACATGTAAATTTGAAGACCTTCATCGGTATGTGATGACGTCTGTATATGAGTGAAAAATTCTCGAACTGGACATAAAACAACTAATCAATCATTACAATCAATAAATCCTAAGTCACATTTTAACTTGTTGTAAATGTTTGAACGTTTACCAGCTCATGGACCTAGAGTAATAAGTACTCTCGTAGAAATTTGAGGTATGATTAACAACAAACTGAAGATTGAACGATTATTTTACATGTACAATCAAGGGTTCAGCGTTCCTAAGTTAAATCGCCGACAACAGCAGTAACTAGAGACCTTAATTCTTGATGTACTGTATGACCTTATGTCAAGGTCGTTACACGGGTCGTAGCAACCACATGTTTGATTTCATTTCAAGTTAAAGTGCAGACAAGGTCTTTGACCGTCTACGAAACGGATATTTAGGCAAAAACAAAAAAGATCTTACCGTTTAAGGGGAGGAATAATTACAAATGACTAACGCTGTGGTATTTTATTTTTGTTTTGTCCGAATATAACCTTCCTGCAACATGATATTTTGCTATTCTACATTTGTAATATAGAATTTAAAGTGACGCAATTTTATTTATTAATGCACTAGATGAAATCCCGCGCAAGCGCGGGGAATTGAATTTATACCACTATCGACAGAAAAAAAATCTAATAATATATATTGTAGTTTCTACTGACAGCCTACAGGCTTATAGCAGGAAGAAATACTTTGTTCAAAATCCCGCATGAAGTAGAAATACGTCTCCAACCCCCCCCCCCCCCCCCCCTGTAAAACTTAAATAACAATATCATTTATTGACGTTTATTGTGAAACCTGTTATATACATTTTACTATGTTATGGATATTGTACTTCAAATGCTCTTATTTCATTTCCGTCACGAATAAAAGCAGTGAATATGCACATTTTACTGAGAAATAGACTTTTTTGGTAAAAATTCACAGGTACTTGGGTCTTGGTTTATAAATATGTATGTACCTTATTGATATGTAAAAACTGTACCTTACCTCTCTTTTTTTTTTTTTTTTTTTTTTACATATCAATAAGGTACATGTATACATATTTATAATCCAAGACCTAAAAGTACCTGTGTAAAAATTAGCTTTTATTTAACGCCCTATGAATACACTGGCGGATTTAGAGGGGGGCCCAACCCCCTCCCGTTTTGTGTCCAAAATATACATAAAATTTAATAAATCATTTTTTTGGTGTGTCCGTGGGCCCCTACCCCAACCCCAAACTGGTCCCCCCCCTTTCAAGATTCCTGGATCCGCCACTGGAATAGGCCGAGTATTTGATACAAAAGACTGTATTCAGAAAAAACTGAAATGCACAAAATTATATAACATAATTGTATTTGAATAATGCTTTATTCATTGATATTCTCTTTTCATGTAAGCAAGTTTATTACGAAGTACAAATTGTACTTCGGGTTCGTTGCCACGATGCTCAGTGAAGAATATATACAAATTTTACCGATAAATTTATTAGGAAAACCTACTACATATATGTAATAGTCTTTCGATATATAAATATATTCACAACTTACAGTTTTATCAATGATTTACCATTATTTCAAGGACCATTCACACAAAAGCTATTTTTTTTTGTTTTTCTTTTTAACATCGGGCTCGATGCTATATGATGTTCTAGAAGCTTCCGTCAATATCACGATCGGTGAATGACGAAAATAATTTGCACATTTCCCTTTTTAATCGGTTATCACAACTTATTTCTTTTATATCATTTAAATCAAGTTTTGATTGAATAATTCAGTAATGACGTTTAATGAAATAAATAAACGTTTGCTTGTTGTCAGTTTCATTAAAAATTGCCAGTAACTTTGATCCGCCAACCGGAAACGCCACCGTACTCACGTTTTTGCTATTTCATGGCTGTTTATAGAAAGCAAAAGTAGACTTTTAATTTAATGTACGATACTTACAATGCAAGTGAAATCTAAATATAGTTTACGGACATCATCTTGTATCGTGTGTAAGTAAGAACTCTGGTGCACCCGTTTCGGAGTTTATTTGCAAAATTTATTAATTTATAAGTATAGATTTTTCACGGTGAATGTTACACAATTTGTGCTTGATACTCAATGAAATCTGGAATCCATTGACAGAACGAATCGTGAACACGGCAAAAGCACGGACCCCTGGAAACAAGTAATATACAAACAACACACACTGAGGTTTTAGTCAATGTAACTAAATCAAGGTCAAAACAAAGAATGTGTGCTGGGGCAAGAAAGATAACCAGATTACGATAAGTAAAGTATAAAAAAAAAAAAAAACGCAAAATACCCGTGAAGTCGCTATATTTGTACATTTCATGTCTGAAAATAAAATTAAAAGAACAATAGAATATCTTAATGAATTAGCCTAAGTAGTTGAAGACCAGTATTTTGATGTCACCTGATTCACTCAGGTCACCCATCGTTATCTGTTTTCGTCCTCGTCGTGTGCCGTCCGTCCTGGGTTATCATTGGAACATTTTCAGATTCTTCTCTGGAACCAATTTTAGCATAGAACATCTATGCGTGAAGGGAATAAAAATTGTGAATTTCATGGTCCCTGCCTCTGGAGCCTAAGGGATATATGGGTCTAAAAACATCAAAATTAGTGCTAATTTTAAAAATTTTACTCCTGGGCATAATGAACTCAAACTGTTGACATTATTGTTATCAGCATTAAGATCTCTACCAAAATTGTGAAATTCATTCAAATTTCTGGAGTTAAGGTGGGCCCTAATGATCATATAGTGAAAATACATTATTTCTTTGAAAATCTTCTCTGGTCCTGGGTATATATCAGATAAACTAAGTGCACGGTTATGAAGATCAAAGCTGCCTCTTCCAAAGTTGTGAAAATTGTTGCCCCAGGATGAGGAGTTCTACGGGAGGGGGACTCTATTGAAATATAGTGAAAGCGCATTATTTCATTGATTATCTTCTCTGCCTCTGTGTATCAAGCAAAAACAAAACAAAACAAAAAAAAACAACTAAAAAATAACAACAACAAACATAAAAAACAAAAAAACTACATATATAGACATGATGAGCAAAGGTACCTCTCCCAATTTGTGGCCCCAGGGCTAGGAAATCAGGTTGGATAATTTGAGATTTCCCCATCAGACTTAGATTTTGGGAGCAGACATTACAGAAAATATTCCTTTGTAATTATTAGGGATGTCAAAATATTTATTTTCTTTAGTCGAATATTCGATTGCATTATTCGAACGATAGTCGAATATATTCGAAACTTTTTCGGAAACTAAAATTTTATTTCAAACTTCACTGGTACATGACATATTTAACCCCGAATCCCCTTTTCTTAATTTTATTAAAAAGTGACACCAAATGTTACATGCAGATGTTCACATGGACCTAAAATGTGGATAGCGTTTGTATATTCAATAAATATAGAGCTCTAGTTTCTCCAAAATGTATGATTTCCTCGTCATTCATGTTCATAAATCGGTCTGTAAAATCGGTTTTTTAGGAAGCATAAAAAAATGACAGTACGATATATTTTTTAAAGCTTATTAAAATGATGGGGGAGGGGGGACACACGGTATCTGTGATAATGTTAAACATTTGAATATACTTTTTGTACCAACTATCAATATGTCTTTAAAATAGGTAAAAGAATATTAATTTTAAAATAATTATCGTAATGTCCACGGTAATAATGGGTACATGGTATGAGATCAAGTCCAATTAATAATTTTACAAAGAAAGCGCGATGATTTTGTTACAAAAACAACACATTAATTGACAAATAATTTTCGCGGAAATGAAGCATTTCTAATTACTATACTCTCTATGTAAAGTCAGCATTTTTAATGAGGAAAATTATCTTCTCGACTGCGTCTTAGGAAAGACGGTTTCTCAATATTTGGATGAGAATTCCATCTCTTTATCACTCTTTTATTGAATTTATTTATTCGAATGTCGTTTCGTTATTCGATCGTCGGTCCATTCGACTGATAGTCGATATTGTGAAGTTTCTCCTTTCGTTTGCAGTATACTGAAATATCAACTTTAAATATGGAACGCCATAGCTGCCTGAAGGTCACTTTCATATTATATGAGGTGGTAAAATCATTATATGGAGTGGTTATTTCATTATATACATTAAGGAAATCTTTATATGATGTGATAAGTTCAATATACAGTGTATACAGTTAAAAAACATAGTTTGTGTGAACACGTTGCATGTGAAGTGCCAAGTTCATTTCATTCAGTGCGACACCATTACATGAAGTGAAAAATTTATTACGTGCAGTACTAACATCATTACATTATAAAGTAAAATTATTATATATATATTTTAAAACCATACTATGCAGTG